GAATTGTATGGTATATGAATTATATCTCAATAAATCTGTTAAATTTTTTTTAAAAGTCCTGTGTGTGGGTGTTTGTAGCAACTTAATTTTTTTTTGCCTTTTTCATGACCGGTAAGGGGATCACAACCCTTGGTGTGGTGTCGCCTGCACTGCGCTCAGCCAGTGAGCGCACCGGCCATTCCTATATAGGATCTGAACCCACGGCGGGAGAGTTGCTGCGCTCCCAGCACCGCATTCTCCCGACTGCGCCATGGGGTCGGCCCAGCAATTTAATTTTTATAGGCTAAAACTGGAAACAACCCAGATATCCTTCAATGGGTGAATGGTTAAACAAGATGTGGCATATCTGTACTATAGAATACTACTACTCAGCAATAGAAAAGGAACAGAATATTGAGATATAAAATAATCTGGGTTAATCTCCAGAGAATTATGCTGAATGGAGAATGCCAATCTCAAAAGGTTACATAGTCTATAATAGTGCCATTTATGTATTATTCTTAAAATGACAAAATACAGAGATGGATAACATATTAGTGGTTGTCAGGGGTTCAGTAGGAGGTGGGGCAGAAGGAAGGTGGATGTGCTTATAAAATGTAAACATGAGGGATCCTTGTGGTGATGGAAATATTCTGTGTCTTGATTGTATCAATGTCAATTATCCTGGTTTTGATATTGTAGTTAAGATTTGCCAGGTATTACCATTGGGGGAAACTGGATAAAGGGTACGTGGGTATTATTTATTACAACTGCATGCAAATCTACAAGTAGCTCCAAAAGTTTAATTTAAAAAATCAGTTGGATGGGCCGGCCCGGTGGCGCACTGCTACAGTGCACCGCTTGGGAGCGCGGCGGCGCTCCTGCCGAGGGTTCGGATCCCACATACAGACCAGTTCCCGCTCACTGGCTGAGCGAGGTGTGGGTGCGACACTGAGGGTTGCAATCCCGTTGCCGGTCCCGGTCCGGTACGGGCGCGACACTGAGGGTTGCGATCCGTTGCCGGACACGAAAAAAGACAAAAAGGAAAAAAATAATAATAATAAAAATAAAAATAAAAAATAAAAAATCAGTTGGCATCTTACAACTGTTAATATTTTGGTATCTGTTTTTCTAGGATTTGGCTAACCATATGTTCTATGTGCTGTGTTCATGTGTGTACAATGTAAATGTAAATTTGTATGCAAATGTTGGTGTATATGTAAATATACATACTTATTTTTTACAATTGGAATTTGTGCTGAACATATTCCTTTAACATATTTAAGCATAAGTGTCCTATGTCATGACATATCTGCAAACATCGTTTATATTGGCCACATTGTATTCCATGGCCTAGGGGTACCACAACTTATTTAACCAATTTGCATTTTGTTCACTATTAGATTGTTTCCAATTTATTGTCATTGTAAGCAATGTTGTGGAGTTACTTAATTCTCATGCACATGGTTAGCATACATTTACAATGGTAGACTTTTTAGGCGTTGTGATACATAGTGTGAAACTACCATTCCCAAGAGGTGTAATAACTTATATTTCAATGTTTATTTCCCATACTCTTGCCATCCTGTTATTTTTAATTTTTCCAGTTTCCTAGGTTAATAGTGGAATGCCTATATTTTGCTTTTCATATTTTTCTAATTACTAGAAGTTGTATTTTTTTCCCTTAAACTTAGGTTTTAAAAAATAGGTTTTATAATATTTTGGAGGGGGGAGACTGCCTTTTATGTTGCTTTCATTTGTATTTTTTTTTTTAGCTTAAAAACCAGTTTTTTTTTTTAATTTTTATTTTGTTGATATACAATGTGGTTGGTTATTGTGGCCCATTACCGAAACCTCCCTCCCTCCTCTCTCTCCTCCCTCCCACCCAACAATGTCCTTTCTGTTTGCTTGTTGTATCAACTTCAAGGAACTGTAGTTGTTATGTCTTCTTCCCCACCCTGGTTTTTTGTTTGTTTGTTTGTTTGTTTTGTGTGTGTGTGTGTGTGTGTGTGTGTGTGTGTGTGAATTTATGTATTTATTTATTTTTATCTCGCTCCCATAAGTGAGAGCATGCGTG